CTTTCTTTCTTTCTTTCTTTCTTTCTTTCTTTCTTTCTTTCTTTCTTTCTTTCTTTAAGTAGGCTCCACACCCAGCGTGGAACCCAATGCAGGGCTTGAACTCATGACCCTGAGGTCAAGACCTGAGCTGAGATCAAAAGTCAGATGCTTAACCAAGTGAGCCACCCAGGCGCCCCTAAACAAGTTGATTTCTAATGCTAGAAAACTATACATACTACAAAGAAAATGAAACAGAGTAAAGGGATAGAACATCAGGGATGAGAGTAGTCAGGGAAAGCCTCTAAATATAAAATTTGAACGGAAACCTGAGGATCATCGTGCCGCCTGAGGAAAAAGCATCCCAGGCAGAGGGAACCATCAATGTAAAGACTCCAAGGCTACAACGTACTTGGTATATTAAGGGAGCAGGATGAAGGCCATTATGGTTGGAGAGTAAATTTGTAAAAATTTAATAATAACAATATGTAAGCCAAATTCCCTAGGAAGTATGGGAAGCAGTACAATATAGGAAAAAGAGTCTAGGCTTTAAAGCCAACAAGACCCGAGTTCAAACCTGAGCCTTGCCATTTACCAGCTTTCTGTGCTCGGACAAGTCATCTAGCATTTATCAGCCTTGGTTTTCTTGTCTATAAAGTGGGAAAAATAGAGTGTTGTAAAGTCAAAGTGAGATTTCAAATGAGGTTTGAAAAAGGGTGGGTTTTGGAAGATAGATTTGTGTTTGAATTCCAGTTCTGTACCTTACTTACCTTGTAGCCATCTACTGAGGTTTGTCTTCTTCACATATGAAATAGGAATAATGATACTATATAATAGGATTGCTATGAGGATTTAACTAGACGAAGAATGATTTTATGTTCTGCAGTTTTATTATTATGTGTGTGATTGTGGATTTGTTTTTATTTGTCCTCCTCAGAACTCAATATGCTCATTTAATCTGAAGACTATCTTTTTTCAATTCTAGAAAATTCTCATTCATTAGCACTTTAAAGTGGTGTCTTTTGTCTCTGCTTGCCATTTTCTTGATATCAGTCAGGAAGGACTATGTGATGCTTCAGAACAAAGTTTGAGAAACAAATAGCTTATTGTCTTTTAAGCATTTCTATATACTTGGACTTGGGGATGGGGTTGTTTTAAGTTACCTCAGTTCTCCATATTGACTAGAATTTCCTCTCCCTCTTAAGGTGAACAGCCTTAAAATGAATGAGTTCAATAAGATAGTAGCTAGTAGGTTATGAAGTGTCAGGAAAGGGCCTTAAAGAGGGGACACATAAGCGTTTACATATGCTCAAGGAAAGAAACCATAGAGAAGTGGCAAGGGAGAAAACAAAACAAGGGAGAAGTGGTAGATGCAGGAATGAGAGGGAATAATCAATCGCACAGGAACAAGGCTGGAATCAAGAATGGAAGGTCTTGGGATTTGGAACCTAAGTAAAGGATTAGCTTTAACAGGAGAGTTTCACCTCTTAGAAACAAGGAAGCAGGAAAGAAAGGGTGCAGGTTTATAAAAGTTGGGGAGAGTCTGGAAATTGAGGCCAGGTAGGTCTGTTTTCTCTGATGTAGGATGCAAGGTGAGCGGTGGAAATGGGAGCCTGGCAAGGGCTGAAGGTTTGCACTATCAGCTGCGAGGAATAGGTGAGTGAGTCAAATACGGACACATAAAAGAACATCCAGATAGTCAAGCTGAGGCTGGAAACCATGCGTTTATAACCCCACCAACACAGTGGCTGGGTACTATATTTAGGGCTGGTAAGCCCTAACTGCCCAGGTGGAAGAGTAGAAAAGTAATTGGCTGGGTTGGTGGAGGGTTAGAGTTTGCAAGGCAGTGGCAGATAAAGGACAATCAGACAAGGGAGCGGAGGATGGGAAGAGAGTAGATGAAATGATGAAATCCAGAAACTGAGCTGACCGTGAACTAAACCCATCCTCTAACAGTAACACAAAAATGGTGCAAGCTGGACCATACCAGTGGCATAGTTAGCCCTCTGGAAATGGCAATATCCCGATGCAATGTTACTTTTGTGAGCAGATTTTTCTTTTTAGGTAACAATTACCCTGTCATTATGGTAACAAGTATGCTCTGTTTCTGCTTTGCTAATCTTGATAAATAGATTCACTGTCTCCATAAGTCTCTCAACTCCCCCCAAAGACAGCATGTGGTTGGTGGGGCCAGTATTCACCCCTACTGGGCAGAGCCCTTGTACCAGGCCATTACCTAGACCTTTGACCTTTGGATCAGGCATCCAGCATTGGCCCAATCAGCTGAGGCCAGGGTGATGGGGTCACATGGCAGGCTTGATGCATAAGGGGCCTCTCAGAAAGGTCTAAGACTTTCCACAATACTTTCCAGAAAGAATAAAACTGCAGGCAGAACTGTTCCCGTAAACATTGGAATAGCATTTTCCTCCTGGACCTTGTAATAGATCTCCATCCATTTCTCCACTTCTCACCTCTCTCCAAGCTGGGGAGCGGGACACAGTTCAAAAAAATTCCCTATGTAGAGCACCTAATTGTATAAGTTACATATGTTATATTTGCTTGGAACTTATTCTACCCACACCCCCTATTCACATACACACATAAATAAGCTCATAGATTCGTTTCTTCTTAATCCTTGTCTCCTATTTCAAGGAAGAAATAAATTACTTTCTACATAATTTTCTTTCTGGCGTGCCGACGTTAACAGTAGTAGTAGAGAATCTTCCAAGGTGTGATAAAATGAATTGCTTCCGTTTCAAGGTGGGATTTTTACCACTTAATATAAAACATTCTGGCAATGTCTACCAATTTATATTATCTAGAGTAGAGCTTTGCAAATTTTTTCTGTAAGGGGCCAGACCATAACTGTTTTAGGCTCTATGGGCTACATCACAGCCACTCATCACTTTCATTGTAGGATTTAAGCAGCCATAAACAATGTCAATCAATGAATGTGGCTCTGTTCCCGTAAAACTTTATTTACAAAAGCAGGGTGGACTTGGCTCAAGGCTGTAGTTTACCAGTCCCTCATCTAGAGGATAATTATTTATGGTTTTCTGCTGTTGGGCAAAGAGCTGAACCTCACAATAGCGGTGGTTTTTCTAACAGGATGGCATGGGGGTTCACTGTCTACTGACTTTCCTTATGTAGATTCAGTTATACAATTAATAATTGAAGGTCACCACATCACACAACTCTGGTATCATGCAGTACCTAGCCTGTGTGACCATAGGCAGCAGCACTGAATTTATTTAAAGTGATTTTTCTGCAGTTCCAGATTGAGACCAGATCAAGGCAAAGGAATAGGCATTGTGTTCTTTCATTTATCCATCCAACATATTGGTTCAGACACTGACAGCTATAAAGGACACAGAAATAAATCAAGCAAGGTCCCTGTCCTCAAGGAGCTTATGATTTCTGTAAAGTATATTAGCTTTCTAGGGTTGCTGTAACAAAGAACCACAAACTGAGTGGCTTAAAAAAAAAAAAAAAATTTACTGTCTCACAGTTCCGGAGGCTAGAGGTCTGAGAGCAAGATGTCAGCAGGGCTGTACTCCCTTTGAAGCTTGGAGAGGAGAATCCTTCCTTGCCTTTTCTTAGCCACTGGTGGGTTGCCTGCAATTGGTGGCATTCCTTGGCTTATAAGCCGCAGCACTTAAATTTCTGCCTTCTCCCCTTGTGTGTCTCTCTTTTCCTCTTCTTATAAGGATACTGGTCCTAACAGATCCAGGGCCCACCCTACTTGAGCATGATCTCATCTTCACCTGACTGATTTCATCTGCAGTGACCCTATTTTCAAACAAGGTCGTAATCTGAGGTACTGGAAGTTAGGACTTCAACCTATTTTTGGTGGAAGAAACAACTCAGTCAATAACCTAAGGTAAGAATAAATTGTAAAATAAATGTGAGAACTATGATTGCTATGATGCAAGTTTCTGTCCAAGTACAGGGTGAGGGCCATGGTAAGGGAGGTAAGCTTTACCTGGAAGGGTCAGGAAAGGTTCCGTAGATGAGGTGAAGCTTGAGCAGATTCTGGAAAACGATACCAAATGTTTGTCAGGTACAAATGGGGCATATGGGACCTGGGGAGTGGAAGGGCATCCTCTGTAGGAGCAGCAACAGAGGTAGTAAGTAGTGTGACATAACCAACTCCATAATGGTCCACTATACCCTGAAGGGGGCTTAGGCTTCCTGTTTTCCAGAGAAATAAAAATGAGCTCTAAACACCTTGGCTATTTGATGCACCTGTGACAGTTATTCAAGATCACTGGCAGCTGCAGAATTTCAATATAGGAGAGGCTCAGGGGGACAATCTATTTTTTTAGAGGGGGGAGGAGCAGAGGGAGAGAGAGAATCTTAAGCAGACTCCCTGCTGAGCATGGAGCCCAATGGTGGGGGCGGGGTGGGAGGACCTCTATCTCACGACCTTGCCTGAGCCGAAATCAAGGGTCAGATGCTTAACCAACTAAGCCACCGAGACATCAGAGAGACAATCTAAGTGGAAGGCAGGTGACGAATCAAGGCTAAATTTGCATAGTAAACAACTGTTTTTATTGTTATAGATTAATAAAAATAGCAATGTTGTCTAAAGATGCCTTTACTGGCATTTCACATAGGATGGAGAAAATGTTAACGTATATTTCAAAGAAGTGCAGCCAGGGGTGGCTTGAGAGGGCAGTGACGGAGAGTATGAGCAAGGGTAGCCTTCCTCCCAACTTTTCACCCACTCGCGCATCCCTAGGGGTTAAATGTTGTTTCTTTTCACTTAGCACTGCGCTAAGTGATTAAATGTGTTATGTCTCATCCCCAATTTATAGGTGAAGGCAATGAGGTTTAGAATACATTGCCCTGCTCACACAGCTAGTGATTTCATTTTAATGATAACCTAAAAAACTATACAGTAAATGCATGAACGAGGATTCTGCACTGGCCAACAGTAGCCACTAGCCACATGTGACTGTTTTGAATGAAAGTTAATTAAAAATCCTGTCCCTGGGTTATGCTTGTCCACTTCAAGCGCTCAATAGCCACATGTGGCTTTGGACAGTGCAGAGACAGAACATTTTCATTAAAAATAAAATGACCACTTTATAACTGAGTACTGCCTCAATTTTGCTCCTGCTTGCTTTGTGTTTGTGATCAAACTGACACAGTGTAACATTCTCCAGTTGTCCAAAGCAAATGAAAAAAGAAGAGTTGGCCTTAGTATGTGAATGATGCATTATCACTATATTAAGGAAGGTAACCTAATAGTTCAAATAAAGAAAAATGCCATTATAAATGCACTGAGATCAAAAGAACCTGCCCTGTGGCAATCGGTAGCATGTTTACTTTATAATCAGTTACATAGTTTCAGCAAAATAATATCATCCGTCTCATTAAATTAGTATTGTCAGTTTAAATATCACTGGCTTGATAGTTTGATTTAAATTTAATCTGAAAAATAAAAGCCTTGGGTTCATAAGAACTATAAATACTAGGAGTCTGCACCTCGTTTTATGTTGGTACGTTAAGATAACATACTAGGGGTAATTTAAGTAAATGTAAGGATCAGTGGAGCATTTCCACTTCTCTTTAGAAGGGGTCATTACATTACCCAAGATTGAGAAGCACTGTGAAAGCCTTCAGGATTAAGGAGCCTGAACACATCACCTGTAACACACCGACCCAGGCCCACTGAGCGTGCGTGATTGTCAGTATCCTTTCATATCCAGATTAACTAGAGCGCTCCTGGCACTCGTTTGCCATAACTGTACCCGGGATATATTATTATACCAACTGCAGCGTCTGGCAAGGCTTCACACTGATGAAACATTTTACTCCACAATTTTCTAATCACCCCCTGTTTTAGAATTCAATTAGTAAAACTTGATTTACACTATTCATAAATGCAGAATTTTGCACTACCCCTTCCTAGCTCTTAATAGACCAAAAAAAAAAAAAGTTGGTAGTGAGCAAGGAGACCACAAGGCAAGACCCACTTTTCATTTTCTGGCACATGGATATTTTTTTCTCTGTCTTAATCAGACCAACTATTCTCAAGCACCTTACTGATGGGGAAATAGGACTCAAGAGCATCATTTTCATATTACCACTTCACAGTGTTTTCCTGAAAGGCTTCGTGTCTTCTCACATAGTCTCCAGCCTCCAGCTTTCCCCCTTGAAATCTACAGATGAATTTCACACTCTCGGAGGCAAATACTGCTTTCCTCACCACAAATGAGACACAGAGGCATATCAAGGCTGGGCTATTTCACTGGGTGTACCCCAGGGCTACAATCAGCTCAAGCTGGTCTTTTCACTGTGATTGCAATAGTCAGATCAGTCCACTCAGCCAACTCCTATACCACTGGGGGAGTGAACTCACACTTATTTTGAGTGGGGTTGTATATTACATTGAGACCCCTTATTTATGTTGTTGCACCGTATAGTTATCCCCAAAACCTTGGCTGAATATCTCACCTCTTGTTTCTGAAAAGGGCTTGGTGAATATTCCTACTATTTCCCGCAAAGTGAGACTTAAGACACAGCTTCTCATGTAAGTGGCAAATAAGCGACCAATATCCTATGAACCAGAAGGATACTCTTAAGTGCTAAAAAACAAACAAGCAAAAAAAAACTGCTTGCCATCTTTTAAAATACTCCAAAGATCTACAAACTTAACACTGAGAGGAGTTTAAAAACCTACCTCCCTTCCCTTGAGAAGGTGTTTCTGGTTGTTGAGATAAGTAAGTAAATCAATCTTTTACTCAGATTTTGCAAGTGTAGTTAATTATAATTGTTGAAGTTCAATTATGCTAAGCTAATAATAGTAGCCACCATTTATTTGGCTCTTACTCTATACCAGATAGAATGCCAAGCTATTTACATATATTTTTTAATTCCTTACAACCACTTAATGAAAGTATGTGCTGTTGTCTCTGTCTTACAGATTCAAAAAAACAAAAACAAACAAAAAAACAAGGAGGCCTAGAAACTAGCCTGAGGTCACATGGCGACTCCATCTCAGGATTTGAACTCAAAACTTCCTGAACTCCCAAGCCTCACAAGCAATAATAATGTTAGGTATAATAAGGTATATGTCACAATGAGCTATATTACAGTAAATTTGTTGCTACTCCTCAAACTAAGCATTCTGATTTTCAATATTCCAGCTTCCGAGGAAAATGGCAAGACGAAGTTTCGCTCTGGTCAGTTAGAGAGCGCTTAAGTTATCTCAGGGTGTTGGCAACTCAAATACCTGTCACAAAGTACCCTTTATTTTTCTGCTCTTAATTCACAAGGTTGGGCCCCAAGTCCCCAAAGCACTTTCACCTCCAGTCAGAGAGGCCTTATGAAGAGAACTGATGCCCCGTTTCACCCCAAGGTGAGCTCTCCACAGTGCTCTGCAACCATGACCTACCTCTCCAGTGGGGTCACCTTTGTGGGAGAGTTCAGCCACCAAGAGCTGGGCATCCACAGGACAGGAGCAGAATAATGGATTACCCACTTGAAAATTCAAGGGGAATTTTGAGGGCCTGGATTTTTTTTTTTTTTTAAGATTTTATTTATTTATTTGAGAGACAGTGAGAGAGAGAGAGCAAGCACATGAGAGGGGGGAGGGTCAGAGGGAGAAGCAGACTCCCCCTGCTGAGCAGGGAGCCTGATGCGGGACTCGATCCTGGGACTCCAGGATCATGACCTGAGCTGAAGGCAGTCGATTAACCAACTGAGCCACCCAGGCGCCGGAGGGCCTGGATTTTTACCAGGTCTCCTGGTAAGCATCCTAAGTTCTGTCAAAAAAAAAAAAAAATGATCTTTAGAAAAACACAAGCAAGATTTAAATCCAGGTTAGTTTTAGAAGATCTTAGTATCCATTTGAGTATTATTAGGTAAGCTTTGATGATTAACTCTATAAACCCCGAAACCAGCCTTCACAACCCCCAGGAGAGACTCAGAAAGCCTACCCACTCCTTATTACTTCTTGTCCCTTATCAGTTTATTTAGGGGGAAATGTCTGGGCCAAGAGAAGAGTAACAGCTTGGCAGGTACTGACCAGACAGGTATTTCATATACTGTAAAGCCTATTCAATAAAATTTACCTAATATGGAATTTGTGATGTGATGAATTTGCACCATGAATAAAAAGGGTGTGCTCGGCAAAAACGTAATGTCTCCATAATCATAATTTGCAAAGAAAGAGGGCGTTCAACATGAAGGAATAAAACGTGTCTTTTGCTGTGGTCTGAATTGTGTCCATTGTCCCTCCTCAAGCTGCAGATTCCTACACTGAAGCCCTGACCTGCAGGGTGATAGTATTTGGAGGTGGGGCCTTTGGGAGGCAATTAGGTTTAGATGAGGTCCTGAGGGTGGAGCCCTCCTGATGGGATTAGTGCCCTGTTAAGAGGGTTTACCACAGAGCTTGCTAGTTCTCTCAGCCTCGTGAGGCCATGAGGCCGTAGTAAGAAGAGAAGTCCCTCCCCGGAACCCTGACCTAGATGGCACCCTGATTTCGGACTTCCAGCCTCCAGAACTGAGAGGAAATTAATTTATGCTGTGTAAGCCACCCGGGCTGTGTTGTTTTGCTGTGACAGTGTGAGCTGGTGAACACACCTTACATTAACTTTGAAACACCTCTTTGCATACAAAGATAATTAATAATCTTACGGTTACCGCTTGCGTGTGTGTTCATTAAAGCAAAACTGATAGGACCTCTCGTTGGCAATGCTTTTATGATCCTCTTTAACTTGGAAGTGCTAAAACTGCCTTTAAAAAATTGCATAATGTGGCTTTTTCAAATCGTTTGGACAGAGTAAGAGCCAATTAGAATTGTGAAGTTTTACACTTCTGCCCCAAAACTCTAAAGAAGTTATTATGTATCATAACAAATTAAATGTTATAGCCCATAAGACACATGGGCTTATTCTCAAAATAAAATTTTGTTTTGTTATAAGAACATTAACATGGAATGGATTTACATGGATAATCACTGAAGCCAGGTTATCAAGTACATGGAGTTCATCGAACTATTCTCGACATTATGTGGACATTTTAAAATATAAATATATTTAAGATACAAATATAAAAATATATAAAATATAAAGTTCCTTTTAAAATACAAAGTTCTAAGTGAATATATACATATGAGCTACCTATGAACTAACGAGCGGACAGATTTATTCTGCGATGCGGGGTGGTTGCTTAGTTGTGTTTTGATCCATAACCATTTTAAAAAGTGGAAAATAACCACCTCCCGGCCCCTTTTTTGAAAAGTGCAAACTATGCCAAATGCCTTGAATGGAAGAGAATGTTTTACCCTCTATTTTCACAGCTGCCTTATCAGTTTCCTAAACTCCATTAGGGTGGAGCACAGGAACTATAGGAGGACCGGGGGCTTTGTTGTTGTGGTTTGAAGATAACCGTGTATCTTCCCAGGCTAACCTCCTGAAGAGGAGTGAAAACCTCTCCCCAGAGGGGGAGGAAAGTAGGACCTTAAAGAGATCTTCTTAGAGTTTACAGAGTGGTTGAAGCTTAACAGTCTATGGAGACCTCTGCCAGCCTTGTGGGAAAATGATTTGGTATTCAATTGTTCTCACTTGGGCACTTTCCCAGACTACGCATAGTTCAACCAGATAAAGCCTCTCCATTCCATCCTACCTCTCCTCCTCCCGAAAATTTCCTGAACCCTAGGTGTGGCAGGCTAGCTTTGTTCTGGTTGAAGGAGGGCAAGAGCTGTCAGGTAAATGAGGAAAATACCTCTTCAGTCTTCTCACCTGCCAGGCTGGGCTGTGTTCTCTTGGCTTTAGTGTGGAAACGAGAATTTCCACAATTTCTTTTTTTTTTTAAGATTTTATTTATTTATTTGAGAGAGAGAGAATGAGAGATAGAATGAGAGGGAAGAGGGTCAGAGGGAGAAGCAGACTCCCTGCTGAGCAGGGAGCCCGATGCGGGACTCGATCCCGGGATTCCAGGATCATGACCTGAGCCAAAGGCAGTCGCTTAACCAACTGAGCCACCCAGGTGCCCGAGAATTTCCACAATTTCAAAGGGAGTGTCTGCTACTGTTCATTATTAGCTGAGTAATTACTTAGGTACTTGACCTCTTTACATGCTCTGGATTTCCGTGGCTATCAGATAGGAATTGAGCTGAGGACTCTATGAGAAGCAGGAGGAAATTTTTTTTTTTTTTTGCCGAGTTTTCATTTTACTCATAACCTAGTTTTAGACTGGAGATGTGGGTGGTGAGCATCCAGGCCCTTCGTAAGGCATTACACAATCTATGAGAGTTATACAGAGTGGATAGAAAAGTACCTATAACCCACTTTTTAAAAAAGTGTTTCATAATACAGACCTTAAATTCTCCAGGGCATGGAATTACTGACACTGTTTCTTGTTGGAAGAGAAGAATTCTTAAATACTTAATGTTCCTATAGTTTACAGGGTAGAGGAAGAAAGGAGGCCAAGGGTGACAGATGAAGGTAGTTGGGGAATGCTTTGCCTTTGGGACTTATCACCCACTTACTGGTTCTAAGACTTGAACCCCAAACCTAGAAAAAATTCCCATGTTCAGAGGATTGTAGTTGGTATAACTTTCATTTATCACAACAACTTTTCATCAGAAATTTTTGTTAAAATGAAGCCCACATTAAGATTTTCACTTTCCCTTTGCTGCTAGAATTTTTTTTTTTTTAAGATTTTATTTATTTGACAGAGACAGAGAGAGAGAGGGAACACAAGCAGGGGCAGTGGGAGAAGGAGAAGCAGGCTTCCTGCTGCACAGGGAGCCCGATGCGGGGCTCGATCCCAGGACCCCGGAATCATGATCTGAGCCGAAGGCAGATGCTTAACGACTGAGCCTCCCAGGAGCCCCATGCTGCTAGAATTTTTAAGTTAGATGTGTTGCATATTTTCATCATCCTATTTTGAGAGCTTAAAAGAGGTGCAGCCATGTCATTAGGCAGTTGGGAAAAGTTATATAGAAGTTTGAGTCATGGGGCACCTGAGTGGCTCAGTCAGGTTAAACGTCCGACTCTTAATTTCATTAAGTCATGAAATCTCAGGTCATGATCTAGGGTCTTGGGATGGAGCCCCTCATTGGGCTCTGCACTCAGCAGGAAGTCGGCTTGAGATTCTCTCCCTCCCTCTGCCCCTCCCCTGCTTGCTCTTGGGCCCACTCTCTTTCTCTCTCTCTCTAAAAAATCTTAAAGAAAAATAAAAGTTTGAGTTATAGTAGTCCCAAGTTTCAAGGATTTTTTCTTTTTTAAGGTTTTATTTATTTGAGAGAGCGCATGCGTGAGTGCACACGTGCACATGAGTGGGAGGAGGAGCAGAGGGAGAAGGAGAGGGAGAAGCAGGCTCTCTGCGGAGCAGGGAGCCCGTCACAGGGCTCTATCCCATCTGGGATCATGACCTGAGCCAAAGGCAGACGCTTAACCAACTGAGCCACCTAGGTGCCCCTCAAGGATCTTATCTTTCACTAATTTATCAAACTAATATTTGAGTGCCTACTAGTGCTAAGCACCATTCCAGGTGCTGGGCATATGGCAAAACACAAGAAATCCAAGGTTCTAGTTCTAACAGAGTGACTAGACCCACAGAGCGTGCATTCCAATGCGACTAGACCCACACAGAAGTGGAACATTAGGGAGTGACAAGTGCGAATATGAAAATAGGACAGGGTGACAGTAAATGAGTGTTTTAAACTGGGTCATGAGGAAAGGCCACTCCAAGAAGGTGACATTTGAATT